AGACCTGCGTGTCTGCCCAATCAGCCTCTCCACTTGTTTTTCTAATAGACACCTCGAACCTAAAATATGCAAAATTAAGACGTCTTACCCCTCTACTCCAACATCTTCCAATCTCAGCCAGCAGCACCTCTGTTCTTCCGGCTGTGTGGAGTCATCCCTGATTCCTGTCTTTTTCTCATGCCCCACAAACAATCAGGAAATCTATTTTAACCTACTTTCAAAAAACATATCCAGAGTCTGAGTGCTTCTCCCTACCTCCAGAGCCACGCCCTGGCCCGAGCTCTCTTTCACCTGGTTCTCACCTGGATCTCCGGCTCCATTTTGCGAGTCACCCCCTGCAATCTGTTCTCCAAACAGCAGCTGGCCTGGTCCTTGTGAAAAGCAATGTCCACCTGCTGCTCAAGAACCCACGAATGGCTCCCCATTTCCTTCCCCAGTAAGGCCAAAGTCTAAAGCATCTACAAAGCCCTAAGTGATCAGTTTCTATCTGCTTTCCTTATGTTGGAGGCTGTGAAGCTCCTTAAAATATAAACAGTTCTTTTTTTTGGGGGGGGGGGGCGCCAAAATGGCCGAGAAAAGCCAGCACCGGAATGCAGCTTCCAGCGAATATGAGACTCAGAGGACTAGGGGACTTCGCAATTCCAAACGAGGAGCCAGGTTTGGGCGCTGAATTTAGGCCCAGGGAAGGAGCTGCAGGGCGAGAGCCGCCCAGGGAGGCAAATCAAGACGGCGGGGAGCGGGTGGGGGTGGCGTGCGTACCCACCTGATATGTGCAGCCGGCTTAACCCCCTCGGGGTGCTCCCTTTCGGACCCTGTGCTTACCTCATCACTCCTGCAACCGACGGTCCACAAGAGCCCTGCCAGACAGTGGGGTGCTGTGGGTAGTCGATGCAAATCTGAGCAGCAGCTACCGCCAGGTGTGTCTCAGGGACCTGAGCGGGCGTTTGGACGCCAGCTGGATGGACCATCTCATAGAGGGAGGCAGAGTTGAAAGCAGGGAAACAGACCATAAGGCCTGGCAGGCCCCACCTCTAGAGAACTCAAAGGGAAGCCCTTGCAAGAGAGCTTGGCAGCAAACACACCAGCTAGTCCGCAACCAGGAAGATCGAGCTCTGGGAGAGACGCCATTGGGAAGGCGGGGCCAATCTCACCTGCGAACAAACTCCAGGGAGGGACCACCCACCCAACAACCTGATTGAACCCAAGCGAGCCCAGCAGCGCCCTCTACAGGCCAAAAATATACAGCTCCAACCTCTATAGAAAAAAAAGGCTGCTCAGAGACTCCTCCTGAAATCAACAACTTCAAAGATTAAAGGGAGATAAACTCGTGACAATGGGAAAAATCCAGCACAAAACGGATGAAACCATCAAAGAACAGAACACCTCTTCTCCTCCCAGGGATCACAACTCCTCACCATCAAGGGAACAAAAAAATACAGAGAATGAATCTGATGAATTGACAGAAGCAGGCTTCAGAAGGTGGGTAATAACAAACTTCTCTGAGTTAAAAAACCATGTTCTAACCCAATGCAAAGAAACTAAGAACCTTGAATACAGGTTAGACGAAATGCTAACTGGAATAACCAGCTTAGAGAAGAACATAAACGACTTGATGGAGCTGAAAAACACAGCACGAGAACTTTGTGAGGCATACACAAGTTTCAACAGCTGAATCGATCAAGCAGAAGAAAGGATGTCAGAGATAGAAGGCCAAATCAATGAAATAAAATGAGAAGGCAAGATCAGAGAAAAAAACAGTGAAAAGAAATTAACAAAGCCTCCGAGAACTATGGGATTATGTGAAAAAACTTAATCTACACTTGATCGGCATACCTGAATGTGATGGGGAGAATGAATCCAAGTTGGAAAACAGCACATCAAAAAGCTTATCCATCACAATCAAGTAGACTTCATACCAGGGATTCAAGGCTGGTTCAACATATGCAAATCTATAAACCTAATTCACCACATAAACAGAACCAAAGACAAAAACCACATGATTATCTCAATAGATGCAGAGAAGGCCTTTGACAAAATTCAACAGCCCTTTGTGCTAAAAACTCTCAATAAACTAGGTATCAGTGGAACATATCTCAAAACAATAGAAGCTATTTATGACAAACCCACAGCCAATGTCATATTGAATGGGCAAAAATTAGAAGCATTCCCTTTAAAAACAGGTACTGGACAAGGATACCCTCTCTCACCACTCCTATTCAGTATAGTATTGGAAGTTCTAGCCAGAGCAATTAGGCAAGAAAAAGAAATAAAGGGCATTCAATTAGGAAAAGAAGAAGTCAAATTGTCCCTATTTGCAGATGATATGATCATATATTTAGAAGACCCCATCATCTCAGCCCAAAACCTCCTTAAGCTGATAAGCAACTTTGGCAAAGTCTCAGCATACAAAATCAATGTGCAGAAATCACAAGCATTCCTATACACCAATAACAGACAGAGAGCCAAATCATGAGCAAACTCCCATTTACAATTGCTACAAAGAGAATAAAATACCTAGGAATACAACTAACAAGGGATGTAAAAGATCTCTTCAAGGGGAACTGCAAACCACTGATCAAGGAAATAAGAGAGGACACAAACAGATGGAAAAATATTCCATGCTCATGGTTAGGAAGAATTGATATCATGAAAATGGCCATACTGCCCAAAGTAATTTATAGATTCAATGCTATCCCCATCAAGCTACCATTGACCTTCTTCACAGAACTGGAAAAAACCACTTTAAGCTTCATATGGAAACAAAAGAGAGCCTGCATAGCCAAGACAATCCTAAGCAAAAAGGACAAGGCTGGAGGCATCACGCTACCTGACTTCAAATTATACTACAAGGCTACAGTAATCAAAACAGCATGGTACTGGTACCAAAACACAGATATAGACCAATGGAACAGAACAGAGGCCTTGGAGGCAATGCCACACATCTATAACCATCTGATCTTTGACAAACTAGACAAAAACAAGCAATGGGGAAAGGATTCCCTGTTTAATAAATGGTGTTGGGAAAACTGGCTAGCCATATACAGAAAGCTGAAGCTGGACCCCTTCCTTATACCTTATACAAAAATTAACTCCAGATGGATTAAAGATTTAAACATAAGAACTAACACCATAAACACCCTAGAAGAAAACCTAGGCAAAACCATTCAGGACATAGGCACAGGCAAGGACTTCATGACTAAAACACCAAAAGCAATGGCAACGAAATAGACAAATGGGACCTAATTAAACTTAAGAGCTTCTGCACAGCAAAAGAAACAATCATTAGAGTAAACTGGCAACCAATAGAATGGGAAAAATTTTTCCCAATTTATGCATCAGACAAAGGGCTAATATCCAAAATCTACAAAGAACTAAAGCAGATTTACAGGAAAAAAACTAACCCATTCAAAAGTGGGCAAAGGATATGAACAGACACTTTTCAAAAGAAGATAAATATGTGGCCAACAAACATATGAAAAAAATGCTCATCATCATTGGTCATTAGAGAAATGCAAATCAAAACCACATTGAGATACCAGCTCACTCAAGTTAGAATGGCAATCATTAAAAAATCTGGAGACAACAGATGCTATAGAGGACGTGGAGAAAAAGGAACAATTTTACACTGTTGGGAGTGTAAAGTAGTTCAACTATTGTAGAAGACAGTGTGGCAATTACTCAAGGATCTAGAAATAGAAATTCCATTTGACCCCCCCAATCTCATTACTGGGTATATATCCAAAGGATTATAAATCATTCTATCATAAAGACAACATGCACACCTATGTTCATTGCGGTGCTGTTTACCAGCCTATATTTCCATGAATGATAGACTGGACAAGGAAAATGTGGCACATATACACCATGGAATACTATGCAGCCATAAACAACGATGAGTTAGTGTCCTTTGTAGAGACATGGATGAACCTAGAAACCACCATTCTCAGCAAACTGACACAAGAACAGAAAACCAAACACTGCATGTTTTCACTCACAGGCCGGTGATGAACAATGAGAACACTTGGGCACAGGGAAGGGAACAACACTCACAGGGCTAGGTGAGGGGGTGGGACGGGGAGGAGGGGGAGGCATGTATGTATTTACGCAGCAATCCTGCAGGATACAGGATGTGCACATGTACCCCAGAGCCCAAATACATTAAAAAAAAAAAAAATGAGAAGGAATAAAAGGACAGCCACCTCCTCAGCAGAGCCAGTTCGCAGTCTGCTAGAAGCAAGACGTGCTGGAACCTTCTCCCCTAACCCCTACTGGGTATGTGAGAGAAGCCAGACCTGCTGGATCCACTGGAAATGCCTGAGACGGGCAGGAAAGGACTGTAAACCTGGAAGACATCAGTTAAGCACGGAGGAGAGAGAGCCCTAGGGCGCCCAGGAACTTGGAATAAGGTTGCCCTCTGCGGGTGAAACTGTGAAATCATCTCACAGTTCACAGAGCAGACCTGCGCAACCGTCACCCGACTGGGGGTACCAACGCATCGCAGATGGAGGGCGCCGGAGCGCTTCCCAGACGCGGGGACAAAGGCCTGGGAGGGCTGTGGGGCTCTCGGAAGTATCTGGTCACCTTGAGAGGAGTCCGCCGGCTATCGGAGCCTGATGTCGCTGCACCTTCGATTCCTCAAACGCCCCTGCTCTTACTTTGCGGTCTTGCAGCAACTTCTCCGCTCGGGCCTCCCCTAGGCCTTGCCCCCTGAGGAGGGGGCGCATTCCACAGGCGGATTCGCACCCTCGTCAGCACTTTCTCTTGCAAATTAACAAGTGGCCCTCAGCGTGGAAGCACCGCCCGGCCTTTCACCGGGAGGTCACCGGGGTGAGGCCGCTCAAGGTCTGCAGACCCCGGGAGTTGCCAGGATCTCCCCCGCGCGCTGGTTGGTGAAGGCCAGCAGAGGGCGAACCCGGCCCCCAGCAGCGGCCCTTCCATGGCTGGGCTCTGGCACCACCAAGTGGTCAGCACGTCTCGGAGCTCCAGAGGGTAGAGCAGAATTGGGTAGATGAGGGTGCATTTTTCTGGGAGGAGTCTAAGGCTTCGCTCTGACTCCCAAAGGCTAAAGAGCCCGCCCCGGGAGGCAGGACGCGAGGCCGGCCGCGGGAAAGAGCCCTGGCTGTCCCTCCCGGCCTAGCGCTACCTCTTTGATCTCATCCTCCTTGTGGCGGCGAGAGTCACCAAAGATGTGAGGGGCCATTGGGCGTCTGGAGAGTGGTGGAGGTCGGCGCCAGCGGGACCCCAGATTGGAGCCGCCGTCGTCGGACGGGCAGACCCTGCTGTAATAGCTCCCAGCCGGCCGCGGGAGGCAGGTGGGGCCCGCCGCGAGTCCTAGGGAAAAACGCCTTCCTCTTGATTCTCTCAAAGGAGTCCGAGCCCTGGAAAGGGACACCAAGGTGCCTCCGGGACCCCGGAGACGGCCAACAGGCCCAAAAGAGAGTACTTATCCAAGCGGAGAACCTCTGTCCACCTCCGCCCTCCCGGGACTCAAAGTTGTTTGTCAAAGGAACCGCCAGGTTTCCTTGTAGATGGGCACGGTATGCACTGTGCGCGCACACACAGACACACACATATGCGCGCGCGCACGTATGTATATACATATTTTCCAGTTGCAACGGTAGGATTGCCCGTGCCAGCTTCCGGAAATGAGCATCCGCTCCCTCTCCCGGGAGTGGGCGTGGGGTTCACCGAGAGGAGAGACCTTGCGTTTGCGCCGGGCCTGCTCGGTGCCAGGCCATCCCAGGCTTCAGTCTACCCTGGTTTCCGGTCTACGCGTTGTGGGTAGCAGCATTGGCGTGTTGCGCCTCGGGGAGCAAGCTGAGCGAGGATCCAAAAGGTGCGCAATAGCTGGAGAGGAAGGGGCGATGCCTCACCTGGCCCCCTCCCTGAGGCTCCATCCAGCCCAGAAAAAAGGAGCTGCTTTCTCCCCCACCTACCCGAGGATAAATAATCGGGCGCTGACATTTTCCTGCGTTCTTTTTGATAAAACTGTTTTAGGTTGGCTATTGTGGCCCAGGATGGAAGCCTTCTCCCTGGAGCAAACCTGCCCACGCCCAGGCGGGCAGTGGAGTCAGCCTTGCCCCAGCCTGCCCTCTCGGGAAACAATGCCCCTTTGTCGCTCGCCCTCCCAGGGCTAATCTGCCCCTCCCCTTAGCTCAGGGCTCCCTCCCGTTAGAACATTCCAAAGATAGCCACAAGTCACACTCTTCTTTGAGGTCTCTGCTTGGGAAGAAAACAAAGCAGCCTTCCTAATTACACGGAGGGAGTGTGATTTTTCCTGCAAATAATATGACTATTTGCCAGCCTTGGCTCCTCCCTGAAGCCCTGCTGTGAGGGTTTATCAGGTCACTTAGGTTTTGTGCCTCGTGTGAATTCCCACAATCAGTAAATTACAGAGGGGGGCACAAACCCAGCACTGTCTGACGTAGAGAAATTACATATACATACATACATGCATACATACATACAGTCTTTCCACCACCCAGGATTGAAAATTAATGCTGTCTTTGGCATTGTCCCTTATCCACCCAAACCCTCCAAAAGGCTGGCTGGCATTTGCTTGACTCCAGTTCTACCTGCCTCAGTAAATAATATCTTCCCACTCCATCCAACACCCTCCTCCCTCTTTACCTGCCTCACCTGCTTGGTTGCTTGGTAGCACTAAGGGTCACAGTGAGACTGTTTTGGGGGACCCGGCCACATATGTCCTCTGCCTCCTCATTCAGTTCCAAGAGGACAGTGCCTTCTACTTGGGTGTGCCTCCAGGATGGTCCTCTCCTTTTGGGCTCTGGCTCGTCAGTCCTCCCTCAGTGCTCCCACCAGAGTCTCAGTTCACTGCCAGGACCCAGGAGTACTGTTCCCTCCTGTGTCTTCTGCAGAAGGGCAGAACTTTAAGGGTGCTATGAATAATGGTATTTCTCCTTGTTGAACTACTGGCAGCACCTATACGTGTCCACACAGGCTAGAGCCGGTCCTGGTTTAAGTGTGATCATTAAAGGCGCAGGGCAGTGGATGGTGGCTGTGAGGTCACTAAGGGAACATAGTCCAGGGACTTGGTTTCTCACAGTTTGGGTGTCGATGGAGGGAACATTTGTTTTGGCAGCATGCAGGGTGCTTTGGCAACATTTTAAAAATTGTCCTGCTTTCCTGATAAATGCGCCCTATTGCAGTTGCCTCCTTCCCTCCTCCCTTCACTGTTTTTCTTCTCTCTTCTGTTTCTTCCCACATCCATGGTGGTCCTTTGGCGTCTCAATTTCCTCTTCTGAAAAGCTTGCGATTATAGTAATTCACAGGGTGGTAATAAGAATTAGGCCACATAGCATGTATTTAATAAATTGGTCCCATTTCCTTACGTTTTCTCATTTTTTCCTCTTTTCCACTGACTTTGAATTCTCCCTTCTTTTGCTTCTGCCTGTTCTTCACAGAGATTGGAGATGAGGCTGCATCAGGCAGAGACAAGGGATGGGCTCTGGGGAACCTCTGGTTCCTTTTTTTCATTCCACTCACTTTGGACTCTACCCTTTGAAGATTACTGTCATTATGAATAGCTGTTAATGTCTTGTTAGCTAACTGTCTCCCACCACTGACCTCTAGGAGTGACTAGCTCCTGAATTATTTACTTTTTGGAACTCATCATTGGGTGTATGGTCACACGATTTGGAATCCTAGAGTAAACAAATTCAATACTGTAAGTTGATTCAAGTTGGGGCCAGATCTAAACTCAACGACATTAAAAATGTACCTGCCTACTCTGAGGATTTCTTCCAAAGGTTATACAGAGGGACTTGTAGCATTCATCTTAGCACTTTGTCTGGGCTAAGAGACCTGGCTTCACCTCTTGAGGATTGTATAGTAGTGAGGGCCCTGAATATCCTAGTCTTTTGCAGGAAAGATTCTTCTTGTCCAGAGCCTGGACTAGCTGTCCTTTACATGTCTATGCCTTCTCCCCTCTGTGATGCTGCCTCTCTTTACAGTTCAGTCTTCAGCAACCATTTACTATGTTGAAAGGGGTGGAAATAAAGGTGCAGACTCCGTGTCCCTGATAAGACAACTCTGAAGGGCTATCCCAGCTTCAGAACTCTCTGGGGGCCTGCTGAGTTACCGTTTGCCTCACAGCCCACCGTCTCTTTTGCCCGATCCTGTGTTTTCCCCTTTCCCACATGTGTTCCGCCAGAGCACTCCTCTGTTAATTTCCTGCATGCTACTTTCATCTCAGACACTGATTCCTGGGGAGCCCAACCTGCAACATGGATCTAAGTGGAAAGCACATGGAATGCAGCCTGAGACATGAGTCTGTTCAAACCCTGGCTCTGTCGCTTAGTGGTTATGCGGTTTGGGGCAAGGCATTTAATTCCTCTAAAGTTCACTTTCATCTGGGGGAAAAAGATAACTGTGAGGATTAAAAGAGTTTAAATATAGTGTATGAGTGCCTGGCCTACTGAAGCAGTGCAACAGATGTTGGCCCTTCCTTCAATGATATTTATTGAACATGGCATCCCATGTGTTACTAGAATTTGTATTTCTACTTTATAAATTTTACCAGAATTTATGTATTTTCATATTCTTGAAACTAATACTGAATTTTTGAAAGGGGCAACTCCTTCCTTACTAAAGTTTTAGAACACTATCCTAAATGAAGTATAACAGTTACCAAATTAGGTGGCATCTGGATCTGGTTGACCTTGAACAAACAGGTTAATCATATAACTTAGCTAAGTCATTGTGAAATTTCCTCATTTGTAGGAAGAGATATTAATAGTAACTACTTGTGGGAGATGGTGCTTTCCATAAATGCCTACAAAGTACTTTCCATCTCAGCTGCTCTTCAGAAATGAACTTGCCATTCCTCCATCAATAAATGGAATCTAATTCCCCTTCCTTTGCATCTGAGCTGGCCTCAGGTACTTACCTGGGCATTGGAATGTGGCAAAAGTGATGGTCTGAGATTTCCAAGGCTAGATCATACAAGCTAAGTCATTCCATGTGGGTCTTTTGGGATGTTCCCTCTTGGAACCCAGCCATCATGCGTGAGAAGGCTGAACACTTGGAAAAGCCATGTGTAGGTGCTCTGGCTAACAGTCCCAGCCAACAACAAGCATCAACTGCCAGCCGAGTGAGCCCTCCCGACATCCAGCACCTTTGGGCCTTCTGATGACGCAGCACCAGCCCACATCTGGGACCCCAAAAAGAATGGAAATAAACTGAGCCCAGTTAGCATACAAACCAAGACAGATAATAATAAATGGTTGTTTTAAGCCATTAAGTTATGGAGTGGTTTGTCATGCAGCCATAGAAACTAAAACTAAAACTATCTCCTAAGATTATGTGAAAATTAAGTAAGACATTGCATGCAAACTGATTACTAAAGTGCTTAGTAAATGATTAATGCAGTTGCAGAAAAAAGTAAGCTGATTATATGGGGAGATAAAACATGGGCACAAATAGCTATAATACTAAGCAGACACCATCTGAATCAATATTTAGTGGACACCTATCCCATGCCAAGCTCTCTATATAATCATAGAATCTCCAAGTAGAACAGAATTTGGGAAATATTCTAGTTCAGCCTCCCACTTAGTGAGGACATCTCTTCTTGAATGCCTATGTAATACAACTATTATTTATTAAGCCCCATTCTGCACCAGAAAATGTGGTAGATGGCAATATTAGGAAGTGGGATAGAAAGAGAACTAAAACACAGTGCCAGAGGCAGACACATGTTTCTGCCCAGTGTCCTATGTGCAGGGAGAGAGGATACAAAGAAGAGGGATGCATTTCCTCCACATGGAATGGGGTGAGTCGTCTCACTGTCGGGCAGCTCTGCTGATTTAGCTTCCTGGTGCTCTGGATCCTGCTGATACATTTTCTGTGCATCAGCTTGTGTTCTGAGTGGCAGTTCCCTGACTCTTTGCCTTCTTGCTCCATATCCTGATGTTGGCTGTTGACACATCCACTTACCCATCTCTGCTTAAAGCTGACCCTTGTCAAGGAAGGAGGGGTTTCCCTGGCTCTTTTACACCAGCCTGTGGGCTCTTTAAGGGCAATACTGGATCTTATTCATCATTGAGGCCCCAGCTTCTAGAGCCACCAATATAAAATGAAATGAGAGAGAGACAGAGAAGAAAACGCCACCAAACAAATGCATCTCATTTTGTGTGGGTTCAGAAAAATGCCAGAGCTTCCTTTAATTCAAGTTTATTTCAAACAACTACATCAGGGCAAATTAGCAGTGTAAGCTGCTTTCTCAAGTTTCACGAGTAGCACTAAGTTTTTAAAACATTGGGGGTTTAATAGGCAGGTAATCAGTTTAAAAAAAAAAAAAACACTGATGAGTTCACTTTGAGTCCACTACAGCCAAGTATCTGGCAGCTGCTACAGTTATGAGCTATCACAGTTTCCTACGGAGAGCCATGTTTTATGACTTCTAAATATTATCTTTAAAAATGTTTCACAAACCATGAGTTTCACACAAATGTAAGGGTTAGAATTTCAATTTTAAATAATAAACGTAAGTTCAGTGTCATATCAGAGGAAACTCTAGTTTTCTCCTTTTGAGAAACAGAGGGGGTAACTCACCAGAGCAGAGCAGAGTCATCTGAATTGGGCCCTTTATTCTCAGCCGAACCTGCTGAGAGGCTCCATCTACCACTCACAAGGTACTGGGAGCGGGAGAATGTGCATGGTCAGACAAAAGTTTGCTTCCTTGCTCGGTTTCCGTTTAATCACTTCTCTTCTTTATTTTCCTCTTTCTTATTTGAAACTTATTACTTGTTTGTATTGTTTCTCTGCAGGGCTGTAATTGTAGTTTATACAAACCAGTAGAGTACAGGGTTCTTTCATTTAGCAGCTTAGTTTAGTTTTTGTTGTGACAGTGCATTCATATCATGGTGTGGGGGGCAGAATCTATTTACAACTCTGGGGACAGTGCAGTCCCCTATATAAAATCACCGAAACATCCCTATGGAGA